CTCTGAAGCCTTTGAGTGTCTTCTTCTGACTTTGATGGCTTATGACAGATACCTAGCCATATGTAACCCTCTGCACTATAGTTCTTTAATGAAGCATGCAATTTGCATTAAGTTAATTATCATGTCTTGGTTGCTAAGTTTTTCTATAATATTGATTGACACAATATCAATATCTAGACTCCATTTCTGTGGACCCAATATCATTGACCATTTTTTCTGTGACCTTAGTCCACTCTTGAGCCTTTCTTGTTCGGACACTTCTATAATTATGCTAGAAGTTAGTATAATGAGCATTCCTGTTATAATTTTTCCGCTTATAATTATTATTATTTCTTACGCATATATTGTTTTAACCATTCTTGAGATTTCATCCAGCAATGGAAGATGGAAAACCTTTGTTACTTGCAGTTCCCATCTAACAGTGGTTTCCATATATTATGGGACACTGAGCAGTATGTATGTTCTTCCAGGTGGAGAACAATCCTTGACCACCAGCAAAGTTCTGTCTCTGATGTATACTGTGGTGACTCCAATGCTTAATCCTGTGATATATAGCTTTAGAAATAATGATATTAAGCAAGCCTTGAAGAAATGTTTCAATCAATGCAATCATTTAAATGTCCTAAGTACGTAATATCCAAATTAGCAACATGAGAACACAAATCTCCTTGGTCATCAAAAAGTAAATAAAGTCCAAATTAGCAGTACTAGAAAACTTCTCCCAGTTTGGTCTATATTTTGTAACATGGTTTCAACTCATTTTTACTGAGGTGTAAACGGTTCATATTGATAAGTAATACTGATGATATTTTAGAATCGTTATTTTTTTTAAGAAACATACACTTTTATTTTATATGTTTTTGTGATTATGCAAATACATTTCAGAGTGTCTTTTTGAGCCATGAACTAATTTTATAGTTGGTCATAATGTCATTGCTCATATTATAAAATATCATATTTAGAATATCCTTCTGTAGGCAAACAAGCTTAAACTATACATTCTGCAGCGAGAGTTAAACTGTTAGAGAAAGACACCTTACAGAGTTATTCATCCCTTTCCAAGATTAGAGATTCACTCTCTTTTTGCAGAAGAGATCCTTTCCCCAAAACCGACCACATCACTTTTCAATAATGACCTTCTCACAATTAAGGATTCCCTTTAATTAGAAATCTGACCATCATCTGCCACTTCTCCCTCACCCTGGTAGTCTTAGTGATGCACCTTGGCATTCAGGGACCAATACAAAGGATGGGAGAAGTCTCAAATTTTTCTTTATTTGGCTATCACTGGTATGCATAGCACATAACATTAGGGTGTGCAACCAACGACAGTTACCACATAAATTAAACATTTACATTTGTAAAAAAAAAAAGTTTATTCTAGTGATAACTAGATGTGTACAAAAAATATCCATTAGTTTTTTCCTAACAAAATATAACAAACTAGCTCAGTGGCAAGGAAACTGGTGGGCAAAATATTCCCCAGGATAATACTATTAGGTGACATACCTGTTTTGAGCAAATCAATTTCCAAATTTTATTTTAATATGTTTGCAATACCTTATATAATATAGATGCATATTGTTGTTGTACTTGTGAGAAACATACAAATCTGCTTTTTTTTATTATTTAAAATGTTTTGCATTTTTTACATAATAAAAAAAGTATAGAAAAGAAGAGGTACACCTGTGGAATATGATAAATGTATGCTTTTATGAGATCCACCAGTCTTAGAAAATGTCACCATTATACAGTGAACACGCATATTAGATGACTATAACAGAATAATGAGCACTACATGATGACACTCTTTACCCACCCACCCTCTCCTCCCTGAAAAAACAGCATCATAATTTTCTCCATTCCATACTTTTTATTCTGGTGCCAGGAATAGTACTATAAATCAAGAAAGAAAGATTCACACATGTTTGGGCTTGAGCAAGTAGGCTCCCTTGAAATTCTTACAAGTGGTAACTCAGAAATCATAATTTACTCCGATCACCGAATCAGCCTGATTTCGAACAAATTGCAGTTTTCACCTAAATATATCTCCAAGTCAAGTTCATAATGGAATCATCCCATCACTATTTTTATGTATTTTGTCAGTATGAAATATGGTGTAAAAAAATCTCACTCATCCTCATTTATATTCTAGTTATGACTACCAGCTTGTAGAGAAACACATTTCACTATCAGAAGCCACCAGTCACTGATATAATGAATGTAAAGTTTCTGAAAATGTAAGCTCATCGCTGTTTTAAAAACTAAAGGAAGTTTTACTGTGTGATAGCATTCTTACAGTCAGGAAGGGAGAGGAGTGAATAGACTCTATGAGAATCTGTATGGAGTAATTCAAATATAAGAACATAATATTTTATAAAAATTATCAAAATAAATAATTATATTAATATAAATACATTTATATTATGGCACCGAATCCCCTTAATTAAAGTTAAGAGTTAACTCTTTTAGACCCTGGAGCACATTTATTAGAAGATTTATATTTAACACTATAATTCACAAAAATGTATAGAAATGTAATTTGTGACAAATAATTAAAAATAATGTAAACATGCATGACAATCGGTGAATAATTGGTAACAATATGTTTTAGAATTTGGCAATATTATGATTCCAATATCTACAACAAAGATAGCTTCTAAATCATTAGGTCTTAGAGTGATGGGGCTAGTTGTCAACTTATATGCATATATTTTATACTTACATACTTATACTTATATATACTTATATATTTTGAGTATGGGCTTTTCTCAACCCCCCTTTCACATTAGTTTGTAATATGCAGATATGTCCTGTACAAGACACCTTATCTTATATTAGATCTTTGTCAGACAGTGTAATGTTATATATAAGCTGCATTCCACAGTTTATGATCAGCCCTGTCTTTTCACTTAATTAATTGTTACATGCTGCCAGCAAGCAAAATGGAATCACAATTGCTAAACTGTGACTTACACTTATAACATTGACTTTACCCACAACATGTATGACAACTCTACCATTTTACATTCAGCATTACATTAGCATTCGAGTGACATTCCAGTTTTAAATTACTTTGTTTTAGAAATATTTGATTTAACGGTATTTACTGCATGTGGGATTGCAGTTCCCATGTGACAGTGGTTTCCATACACTGAGCAGTATTTATGTTCTTCCAAGTGGAGAACAATCCTTGACTATAAGCAAAATGCTGTCTCTGATGTATACAATGGTGACTCCAATGCTTACTTCTGTGATATATAACCTTAGAAATAATGACATTAAGCAAGCTTTGAAGAAATGTTTCTTATGGAATCAATGCAATCCATTTAAGTGTCCTAAGAAAGTAATATCCAAATTGGCAAGTTTTCCATTAGGAATCTACTTGGTCATCATCTGCCACTTCTCCCTCCCCATAGTTGGCATAGTGATGCATCTTGGCATTCAGGGACCCATGGAAAGGACGGGAGAAATCTGGAGTTTTGAAACATATACTCAGTTCTTTATTTGGCACTGGTATGCAAAACACATAACATTAGAGTGTGCAACCAAAGAAAATTACCACATAAATGTAACATTTATATTGCAGAGTAGAGAAATAAACAGAAGTACAGTCCAGGAGCCTGGATACAGATCAAGGGCCCATGGGCTGTATCCCTGTAACCACCTATAGTTGAGCCCCGAAAGTCATAAATGTATGTAAAAAGTATAGAGTCCCACTAGGATAAACTTAAGAGGGGGGCTCAACCAGCACAGGAGGGGGAAGGAGACCTTACCTTTAATAAATCTAAGTATATGCGTAAAAACAAAACAAAAAACAATAAAGAAGAATAACAGGAGTGAGCTTAACTAAACAATGCTAAGGGGATAAGTTGGTCTAGAGTGCTCTAAATTACAGAAAAAAGAGAGGAGAGACACAAGATGTCTCTTAAATATAATGTAATAATGTAATAATTATGATTCTAGAGTCCCCAGGTCCCCCTAACATTTGACTGAATGGATGGCTAGGTATGAACTAGTGAAGAGGTAGGAGAGGAAGTGAGTAAGAGGTTATTAGAAAAAATACAACAGAAACCTCAATAAACTCATCTTCTGAATTACGCTTTTTAGATTTATTAAAGGTAGGGTCTCCTTCTCTCTCCTGTGCTGGTTGTTTTATGGATAGAAATTATTGTTAGTAAAATATCTATTTACTGTATATGTTCATTATTTACTCAAAATGGCTGCTAGAGCACCCCCTCCCATCCTGTGTTTATTAACTACTCAAAATGGCTGCTAGAGCACCCCCTCCCATCGACTAAAGAATGTAAAGAATGTCATGTATTAAGATGGCGTCTCCCAGGTAGAGCTGCAACCAGGATGATGGTGACATCACACTTTAGAGGAAAGGCATTAGATAAGACACTTAACACTTGACCAATTAAAGATGTATTCCCTCTGTTATCTTGCATTTTGCATATGATGTATTTCTGCCTTTATAAGGGACTTGTCGGCCCCCTGATGAAACATTCTGAAGTTTTTCAGTGACTTGAAACCTGTGTCTCAATGTGATTTACTTCAGAGCGTGCACGCATTCTATTCAATCTGGACAGGGGGCAGATACTCAAGCAAACAATACTTGGTTTGATCTAAAACAATTGGCGCCCAACGTGGGGCCTTGTGGTTGTGACCCTTTCCTGGCCAGCCATCCTAGAAGACACAGAGGGCAGACGACCTGCAGTGACGGGAGAGAGCCTGATCAACTCTGAATATACGGTAATTTCCTGAATTTCCTGTCCCTGTGATTGGCCTGTCTCCATGTCTGTGTGGGCTGCTGGAGGGCACCAAAGACAGCTTGCCCGGAGTCCCTTTGTATAGAACCTGTATATTGACTATCTGCCTCCTGGGTATGAATGTATTTTGTTTGAGTGCACCACCACAATAGCCATGTGCGGTGTAGCAAGCAGCGTTGTGGGGGGGACATCTGCAATAGCCGTGTGTGGTGTAGCAAGCAGCTTTACAGGAGGTCTTCTGTAACAGCTGTGTGTGGTGTAGCAAGCAGCTTTATAGGAGGTGGTTTCCCTGCAGAGGCTGTGTGTGGTCTAGCAAGCAACTTTGCAGGGAGGGGGGTTTCTGTGGTGCCGTGTGTGGTGTAGCAATCGGCAGTACAGGGACGGGTAAATGTGTTGTAGCCATAAATGCCCTTTGGGTTCTTGTTTGCAATAAATGTAAAGTTGTGTCCTGATGTTTGTCTCCTTTCTCTTGTATTCTTTTGATGAGATAAGTGTTTAGGCACGCACAGGGTTAACCTCCATGACTTCAGCTCTGTTTGTCTCTCCCCCCCTCCTGCAGCTCTGTTTGTCTCCCTCCTTCCTCCCCCCTTCCCCTGGCCTCCGCTCTCTGTCTCTCTCCCTGTCATTCCTCCCAGCCTCTCTTTCTCTCTTGTGATGGGGAATTGGTCATGAGCTTGCGAAGGACTGGCTAGCCTGTGATATAGTGAGGGAGAGGGAGGGGGAAGAGGTAGTGAGGGGCAGTGAGGAATGTAATTGATTTGTGGTTTGATTGTATATGTATTTTGAACCTTCTGGTGCATATGTCTCCTGTATGCAAAACATGTAAAGTGTAACATATAAGTCTACGTCTTGTCACTCTCCTCTTCTATCTTCTATCCTAACGAGAGAAGTGTTGGTCACGCACTGCTCACTATGCTCCAGTCTGTGGCCACCTCAGGTGGGCGCACCAAGTGACTAGTCTACATTTTAGGAAGACACACGCACTGTAGACATTCCTTTCTCCTGTCTGTCTCTATCTTGTGACAACTTGTGAAGAGGTAGGAGAGGAAGTGAGTAAGAGGTTATTAGAAAAAATACAACAGAAACCTCAATAAACTCATCTTCTGAATTACGCTTTTTAGATTTATTAAAGGTAGGGTCTCCTTCTCTCTCCTGTGCTGGTTGTGTTATGGATAGAAATTATTGTTAGTAAAATATCTATTTACTGTATATGAGAGGATGGGTGAGGAGCATGCAAAGCTCACGTTTATTACAAGACATTAACAGCCCTTATGGCTGTGACTGCCCCCCAGACAGGCTAATAGCCACCAGCAAGTAGAAAATGCTGGAATTGTGGTAGAAAGAGCAAAAAATGGGGCACAAGAGAATATCGAGAACAGGCAGCAGCTGAAATAACCTGCCCTTCGGTGGTTCCCCACTCATTTTTCAAGCTGGTTTTAGCTCATCTTGTGCCATTACAGAAAGAACATCTCTGAAACATATCAGACTGGTCCCACCCATACGGGCAGTCCAGATCCGAAATGCCAGCAAGTTTCCTCTGCACGAGAAACACAGCAACCCCAGATGATCATTTCAGCCTTGTTAGGCATCATCAGTGAGGCATAGCTGATATCTCTCTAGGGACCTTGAGCAAGAGGTCCACGTCTGGATTAACCTTTAAACTTATTGAGAGCAAAAAACGGGGTGCAAGAGAACACTGAGAACAGGCAGCAGCTGAAATAGCCTGCCCTTCGATGGGTCCCCACTCAGTTCTCAAGTTGGTTTTAGCTCATCTTGTGCCATTACAGAGAGAATATCTCTGAAACATATCAGACTGGTCCAGGATTGAAGCCATTGCCTTAGCAAACTGACTAGGAGAGTGAGAATGGTGTATATGGGATGTTGGTTGTATGGGTCTTGCAAAGCTTGGGTGTAGTAAGGCGGTGGGAGATGGGTTGTATTAATCTATACTAACCAATAAAGTACTAAAGCACAGATGCTGTGCTTGGGTAATGCTAATTTAAAGTATATTTTTCTATGGACAGCTTTATGGGCTGTTAAACTGTCAATTGTTTTCAGATGTCTTATTTATTTTGCCAGTTTTATTTTCCAAATTTGAATACCTAAGTATAGTTTAGACACTGATCTCTGGTACAAAATAGAGACTGATAATGTTGTGTAATTTAGATTTTTAGTTTGGTAATTTATTTAAAGTTTAGTATTTCATTTTGCAAAGGATAATGCTTTCTTCCATGTACCCCTTGACCCCTCATGTCAATATCTGTTTGCCTTCACCCATGACCGTCAAAATTACACCTGGACTGTCGTGCCTCAAGGGGCTCAAAACTCTCCTAGTCAGTTTGCAAAGGCAATGGCTTCAATCCTGGACTCATGGCAAATGTCTCACCCTGATGTGGTCTTGTTCCAGTATGTGGATGACCTCCTCCTCTGTGCTGCTGATCTCCCTAATGCTGAGCGTGATTCAGAGGATCTACTCTGTTATCTTGCTGAACAAGGATGCAAGGTGAAAGGAGTTTCAGCTATCTATCCTCCCAAAGCACAGATGCTTTCTTGGGCCTAATCTCCTACTGCAGAGCATGAATTTCAGAGGCATCCATCCCCATGCAACCACTCTATGATGCCCTAAAGACTGAACCATTTCCTCTGTCTCCTGAGGCCTTGTCCTGCTTCTTTGCCTTACAATGTGCCATTTCACTGCCGCAGCTCTGGGCCTACCAGATTATCAGAAGCCCTTCAAGTTGTTCGTGTCTGAAAGACAAGGTCATGCCTCCCCCGTCTCACATGAAACTCAGCCTTTCCCTCACTGCACCATGTGGTACAGAAATACTCCAGGACCCAAACCCCACTAAGAAAAAGACCTATTCCAGCAGGTGGAGGTACCATAACAGATCTGTTCTGTGACACCAAAGGCAACTGTCTAGCCTTAGTCCTCTTGCCTCCAGAGGTAGGTCACCTATATCACCACTGGGACTTAGCTGTCCCTCACATCTCTTTCGTCAAGTCCCCACAGACTTCATGGAAAGAACTTGGCCCATTGGCCAAAGCTTGGAGCACTGCAGACCAGATCCAGCTCTCTGAGGAGGGTGTCACCAAGTGACACCTGAATTGCAAGACAACTGGCTATCCCCCCACAGACCAAGATCCAGAAGCACCTCATGATTGTTTCGAACAGATTAAAATGGAAATACATCTCCCAACTGTGCATGAAGCTGCCCTACAAGAACCTGACCTCACTCTGTTTGTGGATTGCTCCAGATATGCTGATGAACAAGGAAGATACCATACTGGATATGCTATCACCACAGTGGATGAAGTACTTCAAGCATCCCCACTTCCCCCATCCATGTCTGCACAAAAAGCTGAGCTGCAAGCTCTCACCACAGCGTGCAAGATCTCTGAAGGAAGACGTGCCAATATCTACACTGTGTCAAGATATGCATTAGGCGTGTCACATGACTTCAGACTAATCTGGAAGACAAGAGGATTCCTCACAGCAACTTGCACACCAGTTAAGCACAGCGCGGCTATCAAGGAACTGATTGATGCCCTACTCCTCCCTTAAGTAGAAGCCATACTGAAGGTAAAGGCTCACGGAAGACTGAACTCAGAGGAAGCACAAGGCAACTATCTAGCTGATCAAGCTGCCAAACAAGCTGCGCATGCACCAAGGGAAGTGGACAGAAGAGTGTCCGCTGAAGAAACTCACATATTTACTATGCAGACCCTACCCATGGATCTCAAGGTCCTGAAGGAACAACAAGCAGCTGCTGATCCTGAAGAAATTCAAAGCTGGAAACAGAAAGGGGCAACCCTTAAAGAGGGGCTGTACTCTCAAGTTCTGTTTACCCAAGAACATGTACTGTGGACCCATGGAACAGTGTCCAGTGGGCCCATGGAACATCACACCTGTCCAAGACCCTCATGAACTCCCTGATCAACAAATACTCTGAAGAACCAGGGATTACCTCTCGGACCAACAGTTACTGCAGATCCTGCACCATCTGTGCCAAATGCAACCCAGGCAGAATGGAAAAAGTTCCCCCAAAGCATCTAGCCAAACCTCACTATCCCTTCCAGAGAAACCACGTTGACCTTATTCAAATGCCAGAGAGTTGCTGGTTCGAATATGCACTAGTTATAGTAGATATGTTCTCAAGGTATATATGCAAATGGATGGCTGCATATATTACATTTTCAAAAATGTAAAATTTGGAATAGCAGTCTAAAAGAAAACCTCCAAACCTCCTGCAGCATTACATTCGCTCTTCCTCGCGTTGTCTCCACCCTAGATGTTTTAATCCCGTGTCATAGTGTTCAGGAACAAAACAAACTCCATTCTCTTTAATATTTTTATTAGTGATATTGCAGAAGGTCTTGATGTTAAGGTATGTCTTTTTGCTGATGATACTAAGATATGTAACAGGGTTGATGTTCCAGGAGGGATAAGCCAAATGGCAAATGATTTAGGTAAACTAGAAAAATGGTCAGAATTGTGGCAACTGACATTTAATGTGGATAAGTGCAAGATAATGCATCTTGGACGTAAAAACCCAAGGGCAGAGTACAGAATATTTGATAGAGTCCTAACCTTAACATATGAGGAAAGGGATTTAGGGGTGATTATTTCTGATGACTTAAAGGTAGGCAGACAATGTAATAGAGTAGCAGGAAATGCTAGCAGAATGCTTGATTGTATAGGGAGAGGTATTAGCAGTAGAAAGAGGGACATGCTCATACCATTGTAAAGAACACTGGTGAGAACTCACTTGGAGTATTATACACAGTACTGGAGGCCAAATCTTCAGAAGGATATTGATACTTTAGAGAGAGTTCAGAGAAGGGCTACTAAACTGGTTCATGGATTGCAGGATAAAACTTAACAGGAAAGGTTAAAGGATCTTAACATGTATAGCTTGGAGGAAAGACGAGACAGGGAGGATATGATAGAAACATTTAAATATATAAAGGGAATCAACACAGTAAAGGAGTAGACTATATTTAAAAGAAGAAAAACTACCACAACAAGAGGACATAGTCTTAAATTAGAGGGACAAAGGTTTAAAAATAATATCAGGAAGTATTACTTTACTGAGAGGGTAGTGGATGCATGGAATAGCCTTCCAGCTGAAGTGGTAGAGGTTAACACAGTAAAGGAGTTTAAGCATGCGTGGGATAGGCATAAGGCTATCCTAACTATAAGATAAGACTAGGGACTAATGAAAGTATTTAGAAAATTGGGCAGACTAGATGGGCCGAATGGTTCTTATCTGCCGTCACATTCTATGTTTCTATGCTTACAACATTTTGAAATTATTTTCCTGGGAACTAGGAACTTGACTAAAATACTAAAGGTATTGCAAATATATATCTGGAAATTACATTTGCAACGATCTCCATATATTTATTTTTCTCTCCTTATTAGAACTAAATAACACTGATCTATTGAAATAATGTACGGTGTTAGTCATCATAGAAGTGGTTGGGAATATTTATATATGTTTTTGAATAACTGGACTTGGATTCAGTTTTTGTTGCTCACTATTTGTCCTTATTTTATTTTGTTTTCACAAGTGTATTGAAAACACTATATTGTGCAGCATTTACACGTGTTTCATTTATGACATGATTTTAAAACTTCAACACAGTTAATTAGGTTTTATTTCCATAAATTGTTTTGCTTTTCTCAGAAGGTT